TGAAATCACAAGGGGAGAAGTAGCGCTTCACATGGGAGTGAAGAATGAGCCCATGGAGAGATCATTACTAGAGAGAAGGCTTCCTACCATCTACTCTAAGCTTTAGGAAAGTTCCCATGGACAGAGGGAGAGAAAAAGAGAGTGGGGAAGGAAAAGGGAGAAAAATGAAGGGGGAGAAGGAGAAGAAGAAGATGAAGGAGAGGGTGGGAGAAAGAAGACGGGATGAGGAAGTAGAAGAAGACGACGAAGAAGAAGAAGACGAAGAAGAAGAAAAAGGAGAAGAAGAAGAGAAGCAGAAGAAGAAGAAGAAGAAGAAGAAAAATCTCCTCCTTTCCACTCGCCTCCTTGATGTTGCATTCAGATCACTCTCATTCACGCTTTACATGTATGCAAGCAGGTTGCGCAGCAAACTGGCGTCAAGCGCCCATTCAGAACTCAGAGATATGGTAGCCAATAAAGCAGCTCAAATACAAGTTCACTTCGCATGGCTATGGCGACACATCGCCTGTACATCTCTCTGTTCACACACATACAGGATCACCTTGGATATCCCACACACATCACACTCTGTACTCTCACACGCACCCGCACACTTCTACAACTATGGCGGCTATGGCCGCTGCTACCCTATCGCTATGGCTAAGCTTCTTCTCGCCCACTTCGTCCTCAGGCTCACTGCAGACCACCTCGCACAAGTCGCTATGGCAACGCTTCCGCATGGCTTACGCAGAAAATGAATGGATGGCTGGGCGCTGCCTCTTGATTTATACCTCTGTAACTCGCCGGTCTGCCCTTTTCCATCGGCCCATGATGGTACTTGCTGGACTGGATTGGGACTGATTGGACGGCCACTGCTGACTGCATGGGTTTGCACCGCAGACTCGCTGCAGTCGCACTGCCAACTTACTGAGGTTGGCTCCACCACTTGCCCACTTGCCTCTACCTAAACGTGAGCCTACTCTGAAAGGCCACTTCTGGGACCTTTCGGAAGTCTGTAGACTTGGCCTTTCGGGTATCGTAGCGGCTACGACCTTGACCTCTCAGGATTGTAGCAGCTACGACCTTGACCTTTCATGATCCCTACAACTACGGCCTCTATAGGGTTGTGACTCCTACTCGACAGACCTACAGATCGAACCCCTACCACTACACAGACCTACGACAAACAACAAGTGTCAAAACACAGGTCACGGGTTCAAACATTCGAGGTCGACACAGATACTGTGCATAGGTAAGGTGAGAACTAGGGATCCAGCCCTGGGATCTGCATTCGCTACTGCTAAAAGGTGAAAACCGTTTTACTCCCGCTGGCCTAAATTCGAGGTCCTCCGAGAATAACTCAATCCAAGGCAGGACCTTTACCTTTCTTATCTCTCTCGTAGGCTCTAACTACATCGGGAGTTGTTTCTAGAAGTTTTGTTCTAGTAAACCAGCGGTCATCCTCTGGTTCCTGATAAGCAAACCGAACCTTGTATTGCTTATGCGGACGACCTCTACCTCCTGATCTGAACATGTCTTCCCCTACAATGCCGTCAATGTCATACCTTTCGTCCATGTCTGGAGGAATCATGGGTCTTCTAGATGAAAACTGTTGAATTGTGACACACGGCAACAACTTTGATGCATGAAACACCGGGTAGATGTGGAGGTGTGCTGGGATGTCTACTGTGTAGGACGACCCATCCTCTCCACCCTTAACTTCTAGAACTGGCCACGGTCCTCTATATGCGGGCAGTAACTTCTGCGAGATGTTTTCCTCAGGAATAAACTCTTTGGACTTGACCCAGACCAGGTCGCCGACTTGCAACTGTGACGGGCGGCGGTGCTTATTAGCTTGTTCTGTCATTCGGTGCTAGGCTTTCCTGAGGTTCTCTACCACGGTAGCCAACTCTTTCTCGTGCTGTAAAGCAAACTCCCTAATACCGGGCGGTAGCCTGTGAATCTGATCCCGGTTAAGTCCCTCAAACGATTTGCGTGGTCTAAAGGACTTGTGTAACTCGTTGGGAGTGCGACAGGTAGACAAGTGCACGCTGTTATTGTACGCACTGGCTACTTTGGGCAACATCTCATCCCAATTAATCTGATCTGGTCTAATGTACATACGAAGAAATTGTTGCAGGATCTTATTCATCTGTTCAGTCTGACCGTTAGTCTCTGGATGACGGCCAGATGACATCAACAACATGGAGCTATAAACTCTCATCAACTCCTGCCAGTTTTGACTAGTGAACCGGGTGTCTTTATCACTAACCATAGACAGTGGATCACTGACCCAATGACAAAAAAACTTCTGAATAACTAAGTTTGTGCGTGCCTCTTAGGGCAAAGGAATAAAAACTGCATACTTACTGAATTTATCGACTATGACCATGACTTGGCTCTTGCCATGCCTACTCTTGACGCCAGCGTCCATAAAGTCAATGGACACTAAATCTCCTGGCTGATCAGGAATAGGCAGGGGTCTGAGAAGACCTAGAGGGGCACACGTAGAGGTCTTATTTCTCTTACAGACCTTACAACTGCGAACATACTCGATGCAGTCGGCCTTCATCCCAGGCCATATGTACGCGCGCATGAGGTTAGCTAGAGTCTTTTGCCAACCAAAATGTCCGTCAGTATCGTGGCATTCCCCTAGGATCAAACTACGGATCTCTTCATTGTTAGGAACGCACAGTCGGTCAACTACATTAGCCTTCTCGAATAGCAACCCCTCTGTAGTGCGGTAATCTGGCTCGGTTTCTGGTGCCTCCCTAACTCTCTTGCGGAGGTCACTATAAATAGGGTCCTGCGCATACGCCTCTCTAACTTTTTGTTGCAGGTCTCTCCCTATATCAAGATAACGAGCTATTGCTCCGAAGTAATCAGCCCTCCTACTCAGAGCGTCCACAACTACATTATATTTCCCTTTTACAAGCTTGAGCTCAAAATCATACTAGTCTAGTTCGGCAGCCCACGTAGTCAGCTTAGGTGTCATCTTGGCCTGCGTCTTTAACCACAATAACATTTCGTGGTCTGAGTAGACTTTAAAGTGCCTCCCGAGCAAGTAGTGCTTCCAGTGTTCGAGAGCTTGCTTGAGAGCGTAGAGGTTTGAGGACTGGGTACTCTATCAACGCCTGCTTTAACTTTTTCATGGCAGACGTGCGAAGGGGCGCAGCGATGGTGGAGAAGTTGCACACAAACTTCCTATAGTAATTCGCTAGGCCTAAGAACGACCGCAATTCTGTCAACGTGCGGGGTGTAGGCCAATCTCTAATCGCTGTGATTTTGCGATCTTCTGGCTTAATACCGTCTCTGTCCAAGACATGGCCGAGATATAGGACTTGGGTCTTTGCCCATTCGCACTTCTTTGCGTTGATCTTGAAGTTAGCCTCTCTCAGCTTCTCCTCAGATGACCGCCGTGCTCCTGGAGGGTCCTATTGAACACTAGAATGTCATCTAAGTAAACTACTACAAACCTGTCTAACCACGGCCTACACAGGTCGTTCATACAACGCTGAAAAGTTGTTGGTGTGTTGGTTAGTCCAAAGGGCATAACTACAAACTCGTCGTGCCCATATCTAGTCCGGAATGCGGTCTTATACTGATCATCAGGATGGACCTCTATCTGATGATACCCGGACTTCAAGTCTATCTTTGAAAAATACTTACAACCCTGCACCCGATCTAGGAGATTGTCTATACGGGGCAGTGGCTCCTCATTCTTCATTGTGATAGCATTGAGACCCCTATAGTCAATGCACATTCTCAACTCTCCCTCCTTCTTTCGAACAAATAGAACAGGTGCTCCAAATGGAGACGAACTGGGCCTAATCCAACCCTTCTCTAGGAGTTCGTCTAACTGCTTGCGCAGCTCCTCCAATTCCCGCGGGGACATCCCATACACTGCTCCTTTAGGAGTCCTACTGTCAGGCTCTATCTCAATGCGGTGCTGGATGGGTCGCAGGACTACGCCCGTAGGTGGCTCAGCTAAATCTGTGTACTCCTCCAGCAGCTTGGCAATAGCGGGATCTATGGGCTTTTCCTCCCTAGGCGCAGTAACTGGCCTAACATAGGCTACAAAAACCTGTTCTTCTAGCTGCTCCTTTTTCACTGACCTTGCGAACGCAGGAGCGCTAAGGCAGCAATGTGCCAAGGAGTTGTCCGCTCCTGACACATGAAACAAACGGGCGGTCTTGACCCCGCCTGACGGGCTAGAGAGCCTACACTCGTGCTCTCTCAAATGGAGTGTGGCCCCTGCTGCCTCTCCCCAATCCATTCTTAGGACTATGTCAAAAGGAAAGTTGTCCTCTGCGAGGAGAGTCAGGGAATGGAGAACTTTCTCCACCTTCCCATCTTTTTCTAAGCGAAAGTACGCCTGGACTCCCTCTACATAGTCCTCTACTCGCATTGTGCGACTGTCTGCGAGGATACTCACTATGGGGTTTGCTAACTTCTGGACCTTTAGCCCCAACTTCAACTTCTGCAACGCCTTTCCACTGATATAGCTGCATGTGGCCCCACTATCTACTAGGGCCCCTACTCTACCTCTGAAAATCTCTACATCAACTAAAACTAGTTATCCTCTACTCTCCTTCTTCATCTTGGCCCAAGCGGGCATCCTCTCTTTTAGCTCATCGGCCACGCCTGTGAGGGAAGTGCCTAGAGAGACCCTAACACAAGCGGTCTCTGGACAACTATCTAGGCACCGGCTTGCAACCTCTGCCATAGGTACATGTGGTGTGGGCGTTTCCTGCCGGCTCGCGCTTGTTTCCCCACATGGCCTTATGGTAGGGGCAGTTGCTACCCCTACCGGGGGCTGCCTTTTGACTGTTGGGCAACCCATCGGGCCTCTCTATACTTTGGACAAAATTGAATGATGTGGCCAAGGTCATCGCAAAATACGAACTGCCCCTGATCCACACGCTGCTGCCAGACGCGCTGGTCCAGGCCCAAATCCTCCCAAGGTTGGCCCTGTGGCAGACCTGGGTGCCAACCACCTCTCTTATATGGTGACCTATTACCCCTATTAGGTGAACGGTTGCCAGAACGGTTTTGCGGGGGACCTTGACCCCTTCCTCCCGCTTGGAGGTTTCCTCCTCTACCGCCAACCCCTTGATCGTCATGGGAACGGCCACCTGAGGCTCGGCCCCCTTGGCCCTGGCCTCCTCCTCTTCCTTGCGGCCTCCCTCCGGCCGCGACAGCAGCGTAAGTCCTCCCCTGGCTAGCGCTACTGTCCTCCTCTTCCTCTAGTCCCCACTCTATCTGCTCGTAGGGTAGTTGGTCCATACCTCCCTCATCTAATGTAAGGATCAGATGATCCTTGGTCTTGACTTGACCTGAGACAGTACGGCCCTTCCACTTTTTGCCCTTGTCCAGGTCCTTGTGCCAGGAAGTGGAGACTGATGCAGACCGTGCTTCAAACGCTACCACTTCCCTGCTAAGTGCATCGTAGGTCATGGTAGGTCGCTGGCTCTTTTCAAAGAAATGCCCGCATAACTGTTCAAGCATAGCGCGGTAAAAGAGGTTGACCAATTGGGTCTCAGTGACCCCATGATCAGGAACAGCAACCAACTCGTCCATTACACCCTTGAGTGCCCTGGCACTCCTCCACTAGCGAGAATGTATGGTTTGCAGTTTATCCGAGGCTTTAACACTATGGGTCAAATCTGCAAACCGCTCTCTCAACAACTTTAGGAAGTCACTGAAGGGAGTGAACGCGGAATAAGCAACCAAATCATCATTGCAGTTAGTGGCACGACACAGGGAACGGGCGAAGCTTGCTGCTTCCTCCCTAAAAGCGTGTATAGCTATCAGGACGTGCTCGTCCGGGGCAACGTTGTGTAAGTGCACATACGTTTTAATGTTGGCTTCCCAATTGTCGAAGTTCTCCTCCTTCTTCCCGCTATAGGAATCGGGGAACTTGACCTTATCAGGCTCGCTACGAGGGCGTGCTTCCTCCACTTTTCGGCGCGGCCAACCCGACGCCCTCTATGGCGCCTGTGCAATAACGCTCTGTGCTGTCTAGGCGGGCCTTCACCTCGGATCCCACTTGTACCACTAACTCCGTTGCAAACTCCCTAAATCCCAACCGTATCGAGCGTAGGGCAATGCCCTCGTTTCTAATAAACTAGTATTGCTCTTCCTAAGCCTGTGTCAGACGCTCGATGTTCCTAACCATGACTTCCATCTTCCCATGTAAGTCTACCTGCGTTGCCATCCTATCTCTCTGCTTCTTTACTTCCTCCAAGTCTTTCGCCGCCAAGCTCACCGCTTCCAATCTCGCTTTCCTCTCCCTTGTTAGTCGGAACTTCCACTCCATCCTCTTCTCGTCCTCTATGGCCTGACACTTGAGTGGGTCTTTTTCTGCCTCCCACTCCTTCGCGGCCGCCTCCTGTTCTTCCCTGGGTACACACATTAGCACTTCTTCCTCTCCCAGGGACAAATTGGCCACCCACTATGTAATCTTCTTCTCCAATTGATCATCTTTCACACCAATGGATTCCCCTTTTTGCTCCCTTCTTTTCCTTTCCAGCGGTTGGGCTTCTACCTCTTCCTCCTCTTCTACCGCCTTCAACTTCTCCTCCTGCTCTTTCCTCAATCTCTCTTTTTCCCTGGTCATCTCCTCCTCAATCTTCTTTAGTTTGGCCGCCTCTTCCTCTATCGGGGCCTTCTTCTTGGCCTCCTCTTCTCTCTTTCAGGACGGCGGCGGCCTTCGCCTCCTGCTCTGGTGTGAAAGGGGAGGTGCTCGTTACCGTACGCGTGTCAACCATGGTGATAGACGCACAACCACAGGATGGTTCCACTCTTCACCACTTAGAATCTCCCCCTCGCTAACTGAACTTAAGCCGTCACTACAGAACCTGTTGCTGACCAGGAGGCAATTAAGGAGATCCCCCTTAACTCCTCAGGAATTTTTTAACGTCGCAGACAGGACGACGAGGTCAGCGGGTTCTCTCAAGACTTAGACGGCCCGTTGTGCAGCCCACAACTCGGATTTTGGGCCTATCGTGCCACACCGAGCAGCCCGTCGGTCAGTACCGGTCCTTGGGAGGGTTCGTGTCCTCCGGGACAATCGAGTCGTCAGACACAGTCTTTAGCCCTACTCAGCCTGTGTGGGTTTGGTCAACGAGGCCCTATCCTTCATACACGGAGTCCTATCACCTGGACAGAAGAGACTCAATGCAGAAAGAAGAGACAGACAGACTCAAACTCACCAAGTACCATAGGGTGAGTGCACATCCATAGGGCAAGGGGATAGGCTAAGGGCTTGGCGAGATTATACCAACTCCAGCTTTGTCAAACTCTTGGTCAACGGCTCCGGTCAACGCCTCGGTCAACGCTTGGTCAACGCGGTTACGTCCCAGTCAACACTCCGGTCAACCCTCTAGTCAACGCCCGGTCAACACTCTGGTTAACGCTCGATCAACCCTCTGGTCGGCTATGGCTGCCGGCACCTTCTTCCTCGCCACCCTTCACTTCTCTTTCCCCCTCCTTCACCTTTCTTCTTTCTCCTATTTTTTTTTTTTTTTTCCACCCTCGGCTATGTTTGTCTTCCACTTCGTTGTTCCTCCTTCCTCCTTCCTCAGCTATGTCTCCCTCTGCCTCCTCGGTCTCTCCTCCTTTCTCAACCCCGTGTCCGAGCTCTGTGGCTATGGCCGCTACTTTGTCTTGGACCGCACAACCAATCTCGTACCACCTTCTGCGCAGGTGTGTAGTAAACCCATCTTGTATGCTCAGTTCTCTCTCTCTCTCTCTCTCTCTCTCTCTCTCTCTCTATCTATCTATCTATCTATCTATCTATCTATCTATCTATCTTCTTCGTCGTTGTCTTCTATGCAGGTAAGCGTCAGCTCCTTCCGCAGCGGAGCTATGGCGCACTTCCTCACGGTGGCGCTCTTCAACTATGGCGCCCTATGGCGCGCGTCTCTCTCCTGTTGCAACGGCGATGGCGCATGGGACAGCAGGTACCAGCTCTGATACCAGTGTATTCATACTCACTCTCATTCACACTTTACATGTATGCAAACAGGTTGCCCAGTCAACTGGCGTCAAGCGCCCACTCAGAAGTCAGAGATATGATAGCCAATAACGCAGCTCAGATACAAGTTCACTTCGCATGGCTATGGCGACACATCACATGTACAGCTCTCCGTTCACACACACACAGGATCACCCTGGATATCCCACACACATCACACTCTGTACACTCACACACACCCGCACACTTCTACAACTATGGCGGCTATGGCCGCTGCTACCCTATCGCTATGGCTAAGCTTCTTCGCGCCCACTTCGTCCTCGGGCTCACTCCAGATCACCTCGCATAAGTCGCTATGGCAACGCTTCAGCATGGCTTACGCAGAAAATGAATGAATGGTTGGGCGTTGCCTCTTGATTTATACCTCTGTAACTCGTTGGTCTGCCCTTTTCCATCGGCCCATGGTGCACACAGTCCCTCATGGTACTTGCTGGACTGGACTGGGACTGACTGGACCACTACTGCTGACTGCATGGGTTTGCACCGCAGACTCACTGCAGTCGCACTGCCAACTTACTGAGGTTGGCTCCACCACTTGCCCACTTGCCTCTACCTAAACATGAGCCTACTCTGAAAGGCTACTTCCGGGACCTCCCGGAAGTCTGTAGACCTGGCCTTTCGGGTACCGTAGCAGCTACGACCTTGACCTTTCAGGACTGTAGCAGCTACGACCTTAACCTTTCAGGATCTCTACAGCTACGACCTTCACAAGGCTGTGACTCCTACTCGACAGACCTACAGATTGAACCCCTACCACTACACACACCTACGACAGACAACAACAACAGTCAAAACATAGGTCACAGGTTCAAACACTCGGGGTCAACACAGATACTGTACACAGGTAAGGTGAGAACTAGGGATCGAGCCCTGGGATCTGCATTCGCTACTACTAAAAGGTGAAAACCATTTTAATGTCTTGGAGATGGAGCACCAACCTTGATAAAGTCTCCCCCTTCCTTGCATAAGAATCACCTTGGCTAACGCTTTCTTCTTCTCCAAACCCTTTTCTTCCTCCTCTCTCAACCTCACCCAAGCTATGGCAAGCTTCTCCCACTATGGTTATGGAGTCCCCTCTAGGAGGGCTAATGGGAGTCCCTCTAGCCTCTCTCCCTTCCTCACAGCCTGGGGGCTATGGCGGATCACCTCCCTAGGCCAGCCTCAGTACCACTAACCTCTAGAGCTCCTTCCACTAGCTCACAGTCTCCTCTAAGCTCCCAAACTAGCAGGGATTCCCCTCTCCTCTCTCCAAGTGAGAACGTACTCATATGAGCTCACTAGGGCAGCTTGGGCACTCCTCATGCAAATGTGAGTGTGGCGGACTGAATCCTCAGCTTATGAAGGCTGAAACCAGCACTCCGGCCAGCCCATGTGCCTTGAGGTGAACCGAGGTACCCCCAAGGCAAAATTCCACCACTAGGCGCTTCCCGAGGTACCTGGCCTTATTTTGGCCAAGTACATGCAGTCCGAGTGGTTGGTACCAACTCGGATTGCCTCTTGGCCCCTTTCAGCCTCCTTTTTATCTTCAAAATGCTGCCCCCTTGGGTCCCAATGCCCAAGGGGCAGCCTTACTTGAAAGAAAAAGACCTAGAGGGTTTTTTTCTCAATTTTTTTCAGTTTCTACCCCATTTTTGGTAGGCCGAGGTATTTCCCCATGCCTCGGTGCCTTTTCAGCCTTGGATCTGGGTGAGATCCAAGGCCAACAATATTTCGTGCCACCCCCAAGTAGCCCTTGCTTCAAATTTGAGGCTTTGAGCCCCTAAGCTCACTTTTCCAATTTTTGGTGCATCTGGCTCTCTTTTTGGGTCAAATGCACGTTTTCGTCTTTTTCCCTCTTTTGTTTCTTTCCATTTTGGGCTGCCAACTCATTCCGGAGCTGGCCATTTTGAGCTGGCCCACAAAAAACGGCTAGTTCCTCTCCACCATGAGATCTGATCTCAGATTTATGGTCCACAAAAAAAACGGCCACCTCCCTTTTGCATTTTCTCTTAATTTCTCTTCTTAATTCAGATTTTGTGGAGATATTGCCCCAAGGGCCATATCTCTGCAATCCGGATTGGCCTCCTCAATTGTAGGAGGGATGAGGTCACGGTAGGGACCTGCCAGTCCCTACTGTGCAAGTCCCAATAGGCGGCACATTCTCCTCCACCCTTTTCTTCCCTTTTGTCTCATTCTCCCTCCATTTTCTGTTTTTTTTCCTTTTCTTTTCTTTTATTTTTGATGCGACAAGTGTCAAATAGTTGTTGAGTCATTTTCTAAGCCATGGATCCTCATCCATGGCCAGAATTCAGGCTCAGCAGTTGGTCGTTATACCTCGGACTACAATAATGACACCCCCATGCTCATAGGGGGCTCCATTTTGCCTTCGTTAGTCTCAATTTTGAGCCCCTTTTGCTCCGATTTTCTTTGGGCATCCTTTTTTTTTTTT